CTACGTCAAGTGAAGTACAAGGGTTGAGGGTTAGTAAGATGACAAGACGGCCAGGAACTAGGAAGGACACGAAACCATGGACAGAGCTCTGCTGAGATAATCCCAATAAAAAGACAAAGGCAAAGAAATAAAAAATAATAATAAATGAAAAATAAAATAAAAGGATGATGAAGTAATCCGGAAAAAAAAATATGCCTACAGCAAAACTTGCACATATTTGGCAGGAAGGGATAGTACAAATTACTGATTACAGGTGGGAAAATACTCTTTTTGTGAGGGGTCACTACACATGTATGATTGACAAGGTGCACCCACTATCACTACAATATAGAGACATTTATAACTGGAGTTGAATGGATCATGCAGATTCAGGGTTGTCTTACTCTACACACAAGAACTCAGTCAAGGAACTTATTCATAATCCATATTTCTTCCTTACAATAAAATGTTCTGCCACAAAATTTTTGTTTTCTACTCTTGAATATTTTAAAGTGAAAATTTAAAAAACTGAGAATGTATCAGTGTAAACTTTGAATAAGCAATAATAATACCCCCAATAAATATATTATTCATTAAAATATTCATAATGAGCTTCAAGATAAAATGCTGCCATTTCCATATCTAATAATGTAACACATTTAGACTCCTATCTTTTTCATTCTCTCACAATCACCCGAGAAAGGTTACTCATAACAATATTCCAGTTTAAAATGCCTAAGCATATTCGTACCAAAATAATTATTCAATGTTTTTTATTTATTGATTTATCTTTTTAAGGAATACTTATAAATGCCTCATTATCCAATCCACAAAATTATTCAGTATTAATGTACTTTCTATGAATATATATGCAAATATCCTTATTTAATCCTTGAAAATTATCAATAAAGAATAATTTATGCTTTACTGCCATGAAGTTGCAGATAAGATATAATGAATCATACTGTAATAATTTCCTGGTTTGCATTTATAACATCTATAATTTGATCAAGTGTCTTTATTATATCCCTAAATACAGATCCCCACATGCTAAATCATATTTAAAAAATCAAAAAAGGAAGAGAATCAGATATGTCCTTTTCCACATAAACAACAGGTAATGATAGTGGATGAAGCAAAATCATGTAAATATCATCAATCGTATTCTGTATCCATTTCTATCTCCTCAGGCAGACAAATGTGTTGAACAAACGCTGAAGCAATAAGCCAAATCTATTATAATTTCAGTATATCATGGGAGATTCATAATAATATTTCATTATACTTGCAATTTAGAATACTCATCTAGATAAAACTTGTTTTCACTGTATGTCTAGTGACATGAACATATAAAAAAGGGATTATCTGCCTTTAACAACCACTATCTCACAAATGCATTGCAAAACTGATAATCTTACCAGGCAACAGCCTGGTTACCCTCATCCAATGTTTATAATAGAAAAATTCCCTTCAAGTGCTCACAGGTAATAAAACAGCAATTTCAAATCCATTCCAACTGCTTTCTAGATGGAAGTTGCTCATCATATCATACCCAATATGACCAATCAGAAACTTACATAAAGTCTGTGAATCTTTACATCTTCAAATAAAATTTCTATTTATTCTTCATCTATAAAGTCACTTGATTAAAGAATCTAGCAGTCCAGGGAAGAAATCAACGGTGTACTTGCCAATGCACTGGAGATGCCAGGAAGGCATTTATGCAAGTACAAGCCACTACAATTTTATTCTATTAAAATTTCTTTAAAAATAGATGGCTCGAAGAGTGATTACGTGTAAAGAGAAATATCAAAACAACCCATAGTGAGCAGTGCATGTCCCTGGTATCTGTGAGCTAAATGTAGTAAGAATCATTGCTATGAAAATTCTTTAAATATCAAATAAGAAATCAATTCAAATCTACTAAAAACTATAATGAGAATTACTAATACATGTGAAACAATCCCTATATTAACCTTTCTAACCATTCTCACCTAGACAGAAAATTACTAGGAAATATCCCAATCCCCTTCTTACGAATAAAAGCATGTACATCCAGACCAAAAGCATACCACACAAAAATCCATCGATAAGCAACTGTCCCAAATGCACACATAATTCCAAAACAGAAAGATAAGCCTTATTTCACTAAGAGAGACAATATGGAGTCTGATCAATGAAAGCAGTCTATTACCATATTGTAACAGCATATCAAATGACAAATATAGACATTGGAAAATGGCAAATGTAAAAATGCTTATACTGAAAATGAGATAACATCTTTGCAAAATGGAGGCAAGCAGTCTTGATACTGCTCATTAATGTTCATGTGGGACAAGCCTCACACCTGGAAGCGTTGCCACTCAGTAAGCTTAATTTTGGTCTATTTGCAGACTGTGACACACTTGGGCCCAATGGGTTAATAACACAAACACTCTGATATTGCGCTTGGCCAATGTCCTTCATTTACCACTCCTAAGAACCCAACAAAGATGGTAATTTGAGAGCTCAGCCTTTGATG